TGAAACAAGCCTGGTATTTTCCTACTATTTGTTCTGCATATGGTGCCATACGGTGACATAGTACTGTGGAAAATATTTAATACGCTGCATTTAGGGATTTCTGTGTCCATATTTTTCTTTTATAAGCTGCTGTAATGCCATTATGGTATCATAGCCACCTTCTTTATATAGTTCAGCTGGGAGATTATCTATTCCGGGTGATTTGTTTCTGGCTAGTTTTTTAACTGCGTCTTTAACTTCAAGAATGGTTGGTGGTTCCTCTTCCGTCTCACCCGTTCCCCTTATCTCATATCTTTCGTCTTCCAAGTTTTCTTCTTCGTTCTTTATATTAAGTGCCTGGTTAAAGTATTCCATCCATCTATTCAATACTTACATATTTTTTTGTTGTTAATAGGTCACCATTCTGACTTCTGCATTGTCTTGTGGTTGCCTTGAATTATTTTCTGTTGATGGTAACTTTCTTATAGAATGCTCTGAATTCTTTCTCTATGTTGAGGTTTTCTATATATTTAAGTTCCTCATTTAGGAGCTTTCGTTTTTTCTTTTGTGTATATTCTTTTCTTCTCTTCTCTTTGTCTGGTAATTCTCTACAGTTGTTCTAGTTCGTCGGGTAAGCATCTTTCTGTAGGCTTCATTTTTTTCTTTGGTTGCATTCTTGCATTCATCGTCAAACCAATGATTTTTAAGGGCACAAATTTCTATTCCTATTTCCTCTTTCGCTGCTGCTTTAATGTCTTCCTTTATTCTGGCCCACTAGGTGTCTATATCTGTCTGATATACACATTTATATATATATATATATATATATATATATATAATATATATATATCTCAGTATTCTGAGATACTATGTGATATATGCAACGTTACTAGGGAATACAGTGTCACGACAGATAGCCAGAAGCTGTCCACAGTGGAAATTCTTATCTCCTCTCTTGTGGAATCTGGTCATGGATGTGAAGATAGCTAGACTAAGCAACACCAGACATTGTCCTGAGCTATGCTGATGCCTTAGTCATCTTAGCCCACAACAAATTTAATGGCACAGTCAGAGATATAATGCATCAGGCTCAGACTGCAGTTACAGAATTAACTTCAAATTTGGGCTTAACATAAGCCCCCAGAAGTCCAGTATCAACGAAATTTACAGTACGAGGAAATTAGAAGGATTGGGCCTTTAAGCCTAAATCAATAGTATAAATCTAAATCTAATGAGTGGGATAAAGTACTTTGGGGTAATATTAGACTCGAGGCTTACTTAGAATCAGCAGATAAACGAATAATCAAGAGAGCGGTGATTAGGTTTATGTAACTAGGCACACTGATGAAAAAAGTGAAGGTTAAAACCCAACATGTTATATTGGATGACAATCATATACACTTGAGTGCAAAATAATCGACTCAAAAGCGATATTTGAGATTACACCTTCTGGTTCAATGTAAGAAGTATGAAAATAAAAAAAATGTAATGTGCAAACAATAACTTTATTATTGAAGTTACAAAAACTGCTAAGGCATTATTTGAAAGACGCGTTTTAAAAACAATATGCAATACAAACAGAGTTTCTTAAATATTCATCATTGGAACTAATGCAAGAAAGACGTTATGAACAGAGAAATCATCAATCACAACATGAATTTCTTAATTATTCAGTATTTGATATTACCACCCCTACTCCCAATTACTCTTTCCAATCGATTTCGCATGGATCAGATGACTTTTCTAATAAATTCTTGAGGCATTGCTTCCCATTCATCATTAAGCGCAGCTCTCAATTCTATTATGCTCCTTGGTGCATGATTTCTGTCCCGAACCCTTCGTTTAAGCTCATTCCAAACATGCTCTATTGGATTTATGTCCGGGCTTAACGCAGGAAAATTTATTGTAGGTATACCGATCTCAGATAGATAGGTGGTGGTGACTCGTGCGATATGGCATGGTGCATTATCGTGCATTAAAATAAAGGCATCACCAATAAATCCCGCGTATGAAATCACATGTTTCTCCAAAATGTCTCTGATGTTACGATTTCCCGTAAACCTCCTCCACGTACTCCACCAGGCACGAAAATCAACTCGGATTTCCCATCCATAGAACTGCCTTCCAAAACATACAAGAACCGCCTTCATGACACAATTTCTCGTATACAAAATTGAGCAAATCGCTCTCCTGGCCTTCCACAGACTCAACGCCTTTTGTCGTTGTCATGTAGGCAGATCCTACTTTCATCGAAGAATAATACCTGACTCTATTGATAGTCGTCCCAATCCAGATGTTCGCGAGCAAATTCTAATCGCCTTTGCTTCTGGACTGCAGTTAGCTTGGGACCCATAGCCGCCCTTTTTGGTGTCAGGTTGGCTGCCTTTAGTCTCCTTCTGACTGTCCAAACACTGGTCACCACACTCTCTAAGCCCTTTTTGAGTTTAGCACCACTCAAATGTCGATTTCTTAGGGATTTCGATACAAGAAATCGATCATCTCTCTCCGTTGTTATTCGTTTACGGCCTCCTCCTTGTCGACGGATATAATCAGCAGTATCTTGGTACCAACGATACACTCGGGACACAGCAGACTGGCTTAAATTTAGTCGATTTTCCACGGTCCTCTGTCTCAGGCCTTCTTTCAATAATGACTACTGCTTGAGTTGCGTTTACGGATGTGGTATCCATTTGTAATGCAGTGGCGAACTTAAGTGACTGATGTATTAGTGTGTTGCTATGGAAATTGGTGTGTACGATGTTAACCGAATACATTAAGTTGGTGCGTATCGATTTCAATGAGTCAAATTCTGACCCCCTCTCTAAGTGTTACATCATATATTTGTGATTCGTCATCCAATTCACCAAAAAACAATTTTTTTTTAACCTAATAATGAGGTTAATGAATGTACACTAAATATTTTTAAATTTACACTTTTTAGATTGAATCAGGAGATGTACTTTCGCAAAATAATTTTGAGTCGATTATTTGCACTCAAGTGTATATGTTTATGTAATATAATGGCAAAAAAAATGGCGGTGAAAAATTCACCGGTTGGCCTAAAATTATAACCTAGATCCACTTAAATCATTCTGAAAATTATGGAATAATCTAAATGGACCTTTTTAGTTATAAAGTCATACGGATATATATAGTGTACAATGTATGTAACCATTTTCTCATATAATTTTTTTCGTAAGCGTGCCGTTAGAAAGTATATCTCTTCAAACGCAAATAAACATGCAAACGAAAAAGAATTACTATAGATTAGGATAAGTTTGTTTTTCTCGTATCAAAAACTAGAGGAGATTGATTAGCTATGATATATTTCGTTCTTTTTCGAGTAGTTAATACAACCGCTCCCTGGTTGATCCTGCCTGTGCCTTTATTCTTGAATTTCAGGGAGTAGAAATTGCAAGAGAAAGTGACGTAAAAGTGGGCGTGGCTCCCTAAAACCGAAAATGCTGTATTCTTGAAAAAAACTCTCCTTATGTGTGAAAGAAATGTCACTCCCTAAGGGAATAACAATTTCTACTGATAGTAGGTAAGAGAAATTGTAAATGGGAGCGAAAATAACAATACATAACCTTTCAAAAACCTAGGGAAGAATTTTGTTTTTTAAAATGCGGAAGTTAATAAAAGATGGATATCAATCATATGCTCTACTGAAATTATATTATGTTTAATGATGTTTTTGGAGGCAGTTGAAGATCTTCAAATTGGCCGGGATGTCCTCCAACCAACGGACTCATTTCTTTTGTCAGATAGAAAATTTTTACAAATTTTAAAATATATTTTGGAATATTCAAAGGTAGCAATAATAGCAGGGTAGCAGTTAAGATTAAACTGCTCCAAAAAATCCCTGCTTTTTGTCACCGTGACAATACTGGAGCAGTCACATTTTGTCACAGTTACACAAAATCGCAGGTTGGCCCACCACTAAGGGGAGTGATCAGGTTGACGGTTGACAGTATCTTGTCCTTTGTCAATAATTAACTTTTGTGATTGGTTAAAATTTTCATTGAAAACCCGGCAACACTGTTCATAGTTTCTCCCATTCCTTTCTACACCCCGTATTTAAGAATACAGCTTTTTAAAATCGTGAGAAATTTGATGGAGTAGAAAAACGAGTTAGCTTAGTGGGGAGTAAAATTTTCTCTCGATTCAAGAATAAGGCCCCTGTAGTCAAATGCTTGTAAAGATTAAGCCATGCATGTCTCAGTACAAGCCAAATTACAGTGAAACCGCGAAAGGCTTATTAAATCAGTTATGGTTCCTTAGATCGTACCTACATTTACTTGGATAACTGTGGTAATTTAGAGCTAAAACATGCATTGCAACTTGAGGGTGGCAGTTGAAAGATGTACCACAAGTCAATTGGCTACAGTACAGCCGGTTTATAATAGATGGCTTCCGGAATAAAAAAGAACCCTTGAATAATTGAAAGATCTAGGGAAAACGATGGGGTATATCTCCCGCATAAGCCCCAAGTGAAATGTTTTTATGCGAAAAAAAATTATCACTATGATCCAGAATGTAAACATTAGTGTCATAAAAAATAATAGTAATTATTTTTCAAGGCTACGAATCTGGTCATAACATTAATGCTGCACAATATATAGATCTTAAAACGCTTGCTTGTAAGTATCAGACATAAACATTTGGGAAAGGTCACAAGTGGTGGCATATTCTGCATGACAGTGTATGACAGTCGAATCTGCATTAAAGGAGAATCAGTTTAATAGATACATATAGTAATATGGCATGGTCCCATAAAGAGAATAAATATTTTATCAGCATGATATTTACAGATTGGTTAAAATATGCTGCTTAATTTGAATGGATATTTCTATTAAATCTGAAAAGCTTACTTGCCTGCATTGAACATGAATATGTAATATTCAATACACTTAGAAATCAACTAGAAATCTATCCCAATAGTTAGATAAAACGTAGATTAGATTATACATCCCAATAGAAGTTTTTTAACTTTTTTAAAACGTTAAATGAAAAATACTTACCAGTTCTGGAAGATTATCATCTGGCCACTCAAAAGTAGTAAAGCTTGGCAGCACTACAATGCTGTAATTATCTTTGTACTCGAATTTCTGTTTGCTCGATTCTGGATCAAATCCTCCTTCAACGCCAATTGCTAATCGGGTGATTTTCTTTTCTGGACCATCTCCCTGTGGTGGTGACTGAATCTTTAAAATGATAATAGATTTTTTATCTTTATTTAAACTATAAGTCAGACAATTTTCAATTAAAGGTGACTAATCTACAAATTGAACTAAACGGTAGCGGCAATCATGTAAAATGTCAGCAGTAAATTCTTACCGGGGTCATTTTCATTGTGTTTGCTTTGCCCATGTAAAGTAAAAAAGTAAGATAAAGAAAAGAAATTTGCTACCGTAACAATTTAAATTGGTGCGATTCACGAGTGTATAGTGAGAGGAATATATTGTATCTTAAATGTAAATTAAATTTTAAGGTGAAAATTTTCGAAACATTCGGGTATAGATGCATTCGACACCTTTTACATAGATAAATAGTATTACTTTTGCATATCCTACATTCTTGAACTATCGTCTCTTTTTGTTATGTGGCCAATATTGTCGAATCTGGTTTCATCTGGTAAAGCAAATTTAGATTGACATCCATGTACTAAGTTTGACACTGATGTAGCGGTTTCTTCACTATTATAAATTATAAAGATAAATCTATGTCGGCTCATGCTTTCTCTTATAATGTGCACTTCTTTATCCTCATCCTTTGACCAATGCATATCAATTTGAAGCAGAGTATGAACGAGATAATATACATATGCAAATAATTTAATTCTATGTTATTCATTTTTCATTTCAAAATCGTGACGGTTATTCTGCGATGCATAAATATTTGTAAAATATTACTTTTTTTTTCAAAAAGAGTGAAAAAACTTCAATATATGACTTGCCTCCGTGGTTGGCTTTTATATTGTCTAAATATCAATCAGACTAATGTTAAATTACTACTGTATGTGATTTACTATTTTTGCCTGGTTTTTTCTTTGAAAGTTTTATCTGCGGTTCAGAGGAATATCATAATCAGAATCGCCAGAATTTCCAATCACTTGTATTTTATATGTACCTGCAATATCCGGTTTTATTATCATATTATCACAAATAATATTATTATCAATGTCTTCTACATCAGAAACTTTCTAATCTAATCTAGGCGGCAAATAAACCACATTAAGTAAGTCAGCATGTTCACAATCTGAGTATTCTTCTAACAAACTCTTTAGTAGTTAGTGCCATTTTCATTTCATATTTCTAGAATTTACTGAAATAAACAAATGCACTACTATATACACACATTCACATGATAATAGTTTAGCTTACTTCATTTTAATTTATATGAACTTTATAATATATTTTTATATTTATAAAACAAATAAACACAAGGAAACTTTCAAATTAAGTTTAAATAAAAACAAATATAACGTTTACAACATGCAGCAATTCCATAAATAGAGAATGATGTGTAATGACGAGATCGTATGCTACAATTTCAGATTGTTTAGTCTAATGAAAAAAAATAAGTATTTTCCAAAGTTTTCTGTTTTTTGAAGTTCTGTATTAGGTATTATCTGATAAGAATAAAATTTTACTTTAATTTGTTAGACAACTATAAGATACCTGTCAAAAGACACATGATAATTTAATAATTATATCGGTCTTAGATTTAATTTTTACGTAATTACTTATGTGTTTAAATAAATAATTAAATCAATTCAAATCAAGTTAAAACAAAACAAATATAACGTTTATAGCAGACAGCAATTTTATAAATAGAGAATGAAGTGCAACGACGAGATCGTATGTTAAAATTTCAGATTGGTTCCTCTAATGAAAAAATAAGTATTTTGCAAAAATTTCTGTTTTTTTCAAGTATTGTATTAGGTACTCTATAATAACAATAAAATTTAATTTATTTTGTTAGACAACTATAAGATACCTGTTAAAAGACACATGATAATTTAATAATTATATCGTAGTAATTACGTAATTACTTATGTGTTTAAATAAATAATTAAAAAAATTTATTTTGGCACGCCCTGCAAAATTGATAAGTGGAATATGATTTCGTTGAAAAGTTATCGCTAAGGGCTTCATTAAGTGCGATGTTGACAAGTAATCACCTTCAATTAAAAATTGTTTTAGTATAGATGGGATAATTTTATTCTGGTGAACAAAAGAAAAAATAAATAAACCATATTTTTACACTATATTTGTATCAATCGGTAATAGATAGTATACTAGTATTTTATATACAGTTGTGTTCTAGTATTTAATATATTTTCTGTTTTCTTGCAGCAAAGCAAGGTAGAGCAAAAATTAATGAAAATATTCAACAAGACATAATTTTGGCGGCAGTAGAAAATCCAGACTGTACAGTGCGAGAAGTATCTAGGGATTTTGATGTTGGAAAGTCTTCAGTATCAAAAGTTTTTAACAAGGGTAAAATACTATCCTTAGATAGATAATATTTTATTTTCGGATGAAGCAACATTTCATTTGAACGGTCATACTAACCGGCAAAACATGCATTATTTGTCTGATGAAAATCCACACTGGATGCAAGTGTACCATACGCAAAGACCACAAAAAACGAACATATGGGCTGGTATTGTGGGAAATACAATCATTGGTTCATATTTTTTTGATGAAAATTTACCAGGAACATTATATCTGGATTTCCTACAAAATACATTAATTCCTGATCTGATCCAGCTTTTTCTTGATATTTAAATACCCACTAATTTAGACTGCAGAATCTGGTTTGCAAAGATGGTGAACTGCCACATTTCTCAGTAACTATGCGCCATTTTTTAAACAGAACTTTTCCACAACAGTGGATAAGAAGAAGGGGACCAGTGGAATGAGCCCCTAGATCACCTGATTTGAACCCATTAGATTTCTTTGTATAGGGTTATTTAAAATCTTCACAAACAGACCTTATAATATCCGTCAACTACAAGACAAAATTAGACAAGAAATACAGAACATAATACCTGCTATGCTACGGAATACTAAAGATGAAAGTAATGGCTGGTTCAGTCATTGAATTAGTTATTTTTGGTAATGTATCAAATTAATTGCATAGTAGTAAAGTAGTTGTATAACAATAATTTATTAATGGTTTATATGTTATCCTCATTTATTTTGTAGGTACTTGAATTTATAAACGAAAAAAATGGGGTCCATTTAAAACAGTGATCATAGTAAATTAAAATCAAAAATTGACCTGTTTTGGGAATTTCTAATAATGTTTGTTTATTTAGTTAATAATAAATTTATGCATTACTTTATGAATGCACTGTATTTATTATAGTAAGTCATATATTTTCATTCTTTTATTTTCAGGAATGATCCACTTTATCAGTATTTTATAATGTTTACTAATATTACTAAGAATTGATAGGTGTAAATTTATAGTGTGAGAATCAGTAAAACCACACAGATAAGAAGTGGTTTGTAGATACAGAGATAAGTGTGACACGTGACTCAAAACAAAACAATGTATTCAAAACAAAACAATACATACTAATGTAAATAAGATATCTTTTCTAGTTTAATGTATCAAGTAATGTTTCAATTATTATGAATTCTATTATTAAATGGAAACCAAAATATTTCAATTGAACAAAAAAAATGAAATAAAATTATAGCTTAATTATAAAGAAATAATAAGTACTTCATTTTTTTTTTTCATTGACTAAATGCACTAATCTAGAGCCATGTGCCTTTAAGCAACGAAATTTTAAGGTCTATATAAGAATACTGGAAAAAAGATTAAGGAAAGTAACAGAAAAGTGTGAAAGCTTACGATCAGAAAAAAGTCTGGTAAATGAATACAAACCGATAAATACACTAAAATTAGAGGTATGTAAAAACTACTTTGAAAATTTGTACAACGAAAACGTAAACACCAGCGAAAATTATAAAAACAATACAAAAACTGAAATTCAGATTTCAGATTCATCAATTTTTTATTGGAAATATTTTTAAATAAACAATCAAACACCAAATTCATTATTTTGCTCTTTTTTCAGAAAACAGAAAACTTTTTCAGGAATTAAAATCGGATGATTAACAAATAAGTTATTGCAAAATGAACAACAAAATAGCTGTTTTTGAATATTTTTAATAACTTTTTAGACAAGTTCCCCTAAATATTATAAAAACTATTGAAACATCTACTAAAACAACAAAATTGAAGTCAGAATAGATAGACAACTTACAGAACCTATAGAAATGGGCAGCGGAATAATATAGCAGGACTCATTGAGCCATATGCTCTTTAATTTAATTATGGATTAAATCATTAAAAGTGTTATTAACAAAGGAAGAGGATACAGAATGGTGAATAAATAAGTAAAAATACTCTGTTACACAGACAATGCAATATTCATAGCCCAAGATGAAAATACTTTTTGAAAGAAACTGGATGGATATTTAACTCTGAGCACTTTGATTTGTACAATTTGTGCATAATAGAGACATTTTAGTGAACAATACAAATACCTTTTGGTACTAGAGTCCCTACAATAATAAGACTTCACAGCTGGAAATGAAAGAATGTGCTCACTAATCAGCAGTTCATCATCTTTAAATTTATTATGTGGGACATGTTTTCCATAATATGTGGGCATTTATATTTACACACAAAACTGAGAATGTTTAATTGAAACAAGACAACTAATGTTAAATAAGTCCAAAATCCACACTGTCACAAACATGAAAGTGTTACTTTCACAATGCACGCATTGCAAATGAACAATACAGACTAACTTTCGTGAAAGTGCATTTCTCTTCCCTACCATCTCCTAGTCTTTAATCACATTCTTGGTTGTGGCACAGTGTAGCAATGACTGACACATTATTAGTGGTGTACTTAGGTAAAAAAACGAAAATTTTGCAGATTCGTGGGTGTGGCATTGCATTGACAATATATAGACATATATATTAATAATTTACATTATAAGCTAATTTATTTACCAAAGTTACAAAAATAAGAATTTGTTTTTTACTTACTTCAAACTTTTCTCTTCTTAAATGCAAAAATAAAGCATCATAAGTTTTTGCATATTTTTCAACATGATCATGTCCTAAACCAATGAAGGTAGCCAAACTTACATATAAACCGGTAGATGATTCCTGGTGAGATTTATAAAAAATATTTTCATGAAAAACTATTAATTAGAGAATACTAACCATTGTAAAATATATTTTTATTAGCTAGTAATAATTTTATATTTGTGGTCAGAAATCAAAGTGGGGCAGGTGGTCAACTCACATTTTGCTTAATGAAATAAAAAAGGTTAACATAGTAGAATGAATCTGCAACTTAGACTAGAATATGCTTGTGTCTGATCAGCCTATGATCCAGCAGTGCAGCAAGAGACAAGGGCTTGCAGTTTTTTATACTATACCCAAGTATTCAATGGAACCTAATTAGTAGCAAGTTATACTGGAAATAACATAATTATATGTAAGTATTGGTGATTATTACATTAATTGTAAAAGGAAATTATTTTTAAAGGTAAAATATTAATGGCAAATGATAAAAATAGAATTTTTCACTCCAATATGCTAATATGTAGGTTGTTGAATACATGTAGTCACCTACAGCGATTAATTTAAACCTGCCGATCTTGAGGCTACACTCTAATCATCTACCTCTCAATTAAATCTTAGGTAAATTTAATAGTTATAAGACCTACATGACAAACACTTTTCATTAGATCGCCGAATGTAATACAGCTTCCTGTAATACTTTTGTTTTTATAGCAATGTTTGAAGTGTTGTTACAAAATAAGGAAACGACTTATTAAAAAAGTTTATGAAAATAATAAAATTACAATGGCTAGTATTAACTGGTATTTGTAACCTAAAATTTACAATTACTTACAGGATTGTCAAAGGAATATACACACTCATCCTTATATACTTTATCGTTGGCCTTTGGAACTTTTACTTTACTTAAATGAGGTGCAAGTATTTCCATAATGTATAGGTTTTTCAATAGTAAAAAATTACCAGCTTTCACAAATCACAAATACAAATACTACACAATTTATTTGCAGTGCAGAAGTTGACTATTAATATTAGAATTTTTGACAGTTGACAAAGACATATAGGTTAACCGGTAAACACGGAAGACGCGTTTAACAGCATAGTACTCAGAGAACTACGAACTCATTCGTAGTTTTCTGGTAGTATATGTCAAATAAATACTTACAGTTCACAGAACATAAAACTCTAATATTATAGCCTGGGAAGTTTTTCAAAAGAAATGTTTATTTTCTGCAATTTGTAGTCGTTTATTAAGAAATCTTTTAAATATTAAATAATTGCTCACTGAAGACATGCTTCCTACATATAAATAAATGTTTACAACATGTGTTAATTGTTGGAAATAGCACAGAATAATAAACAATCAGAATGCCCACAATTAAGTACGCGCATCTCCACGGTTCCTAGACTTACTACGGTTGCCTCTTCCGCCTAACCAATGAACATTAAGCCGGATTGTACTCCTGTGACGTAATTTGAATCTTAACATTCAGCCCTGTGATTGGATGGATGTATCAAAACAAAAATGTTTTATAAATAAAGTAGGTTGATTTCATGTAATCAAATGAACTATTTTACAATAAAGCCAAGTTAAAGTTATTTATTTATGTTAATATACAAAAAAGTACTTACATATGTCAAAAAATAGTATAAAATAAAAATTAACATATTAAAAACATAAGGTATAATAATGCATATAAAGCAAATATGTTATATATACGTTAAGGCAAACATTACACAGAATATTATATTCTGGGTTCCCAGGTATACACAAAATAGGATTCATCATCATCAATACACAAGCCAGTTCGAAACATTAAAGTTAAAATTTAGGAATTCATTACTTGAAAACATGCCTCACCTTCAACCAATGGACTCTTTGCTTCACCACAATACTCAAAGATATCATTAAGGTTAATTTCCATTATTAAATGATACAAATAACTCGTCTTAAACCAAACTAAACATGGAAAAGCAATGGTAAATATTCGAATGTTATGTTTGTTTTTGTTTATACCATTTATATCGGCCATGACACTGCAATCGACCTGCCCTCTACATTCAGTTTCAATCGCGAATAAATGGGTTTTGTATTCTTGTGTACTCCTGTGATGTAACTCAAGCATCCCCACCCTAGTCGGAAGAGGCAACCGTAGTAAGTCTACGAACCGTGGCGCATCTCCTTCGCGCAGACGTTCCGCCATGTTTTAGAGGGAACCAGTGTTGTTTATGTGGTGAGTATAGAAAAATTAACCCGGTTTAATTGACTTACGGCAATCATAAACATACTATACAATAAAATAATAACATAGTTAAATATAAAAACATAAATATAATATAATTAAACCAAAGAATATAGACGCTTATAGAAGGATCTTTCACTGTTATGTTTGAAAGTTGGCAAAAGATGATCGCACGTTATGAAAAAGAATGAGAGGGTGGATCGAGTACCAGTTAGGCGGTCATGTAGGCGCTACTATTGCTTTTAAAATATGAAAGAGTGGGGCAACAAATGCAACAGATATTTTTATGTAGATGCCGCGTGGCCGTAGAATAGGATTAAATTTTTGCGTCTTATAACATTTTTTAAAGAAAATAATATTTTAACTTTTAATAAATGAATCCTATTAGAAAAAATATTATAAAATCTACAAATAATATACTTAAAACTCTCTTCTTATTAACTATAAATAAAATTAATTCAATGAATAAAGTCATCAATCACCGGAATTAAATATTTCCAAATTTTTTAAATTTAATAATTTCTTCTTTGTTTTTAATATAAAATAACATAAAATGTAAAACACAACACTGTTTTTCTGCAAAATAATGGAAAATTGTCTAAAAAGTGGAAAATTAAATTTTTGGTTGAAAAATCTTGAAATTTTTAAAAAATATTTCGTTAATTTTTGGGCAGAAAAAACAGTATAATAAAAATTTATGTGGCGGTTTTTCGTTGTGTTGGAACAAACCTATTTTTAATTCAAAGTTATAAACTGTAAAAAATAAATGCTTTGAATATTGTAAATATCATACCTTTTTAAATTTCAAAATTAAAAATTTAATGTATTAAAAATAAAGATTTTATTGTGCAAAAACCAAAAAAAGCATGGGAATTTTTTTAATCGTAGATGCAAAATTAAATAAATAGCTCCGTTCGTACTCCTTTCCCACTTTCCCTAACTACATCTTTTATGATAGTTTTAAGCCGACTGACTGCCAGATGTGTTTAAAGTATAAACCGTAACCAAATCGCCCATTTGAACTGTTCTTCTATAAGCGTCTATATTCTTTGATTAAACATAAATATAAACAAATGCATAACCTCACAAATCATATATCTGCGTCACAGAATAATAAACATACAGAATACCACTCTCACGGAAAATTAAGTACGCGCATCTCCTCCGCGCAGACGTTCCGCCATGTTTTAGGAGGATTTTAAAGAAATTATATGGTGTGCATGGAAAAATTAACCAGGTTTAATTGACTTACAGCAATCATAGACATACTACACAATTATATTAACATTGTTAAATATAATAACATAAATATAATATAATTAAACATAAATATAAACAATTACATAACCACACAAATCATATGTCTGTGTCCTCCTCAAACATGGCGCGCGTGCTGAAAAACTTCAAAGGCGGCATCTGAGAGTGTCCCTTCTGATTGTTTATTATTCTGTGTCTGCGTTATGTGTTTCCTTCTAAAACATGGCGCGCGTGCTGATAAACTTCAAAGGCGGCATGTGAGAGTGGGAATTCTGATTGTTTATTATTCTGTGGAAATAGTTTGTAGTGCTTGGTAATAAATTTCACACGTTTTTACTGTCATTTATGACAGTACAATCAGTGACAATCTGACAATCAAAAGTCAAAAATCCAAGACAAGAAGAAGAAAGTCAATCTCTATTTCCAGTATTTCCCAATTTTCTTATTCTATTTTTTATTCTATTCTAAAAAAAAATAAAAACATATTTCTGAACTACCAATTTATGATTTATTGACAAAAATGATCCAAAAAGTAGTGACAGTGTGAACTGGTAGTTTAAATTTAAAAATATATTTTTTGTTTTTGAAAAATGACTGATGATAATATATACTCCATGGAAAATTATGGTTTATATTCTCACCAACTGCATTTCAAACAAAGTCAACAAAATTGTTCATTTTCTCATATATTACCGCATTTCTCTCCAAATGTATCACAGATCCAAAATAATTCTAGCAGCTACCAGAATCAAATGCACTCATCAAAATGGGAAAACAGAACAATATCAGAATTAGAAAAGATCAAATTTACAGACACGGTGGAAATGATTGAAATAAGCAGTAAAGATCTAAGTCCCTGCAGTAACATTGAATATTTAGACTCAGAAATGTATAAGGATACGAATAAAGACCTTGGTTACAATAAATATAATCAGTGTACATATGCACTAAATAGCAATAATCCAAGAAATTATGATTATACTTCTTGTGTCCAATACGAAAAATCTGTTAAATGTTACTCTCAGAAAACATATGATAGTGCATATTTAAAAAACTGTAATTTTAATGCTAACGGAATGGTGCTAAATAATGAAAGTTTATTTAAAAATGGAAACTATAAATTTCCAAGTTATGATAATTATATAGATTATAACAGTTTTAACTGCTACACAAGTAATCAGGAAAATAATGTTCAAATACAAAATGACTTTTATAGCACTACAAATATACAGTTAGATCCTGTTTTACCCCCGATAGAAATGGAAGATTCAAATGAAGACAGTGACATTATTGTAGAAGAATCAGAAGGTGAAATGGCAAATAGTGAAGATCAGGATAAACCTTCCCAGTCAGTGCAGTTAAATAAATGCGTTATTTGTAATTTGATTTGTACTCCATTTGGAATCCAATTTTATTATTTAACATCTAAAAGCCCACTTACAATGTCTTCTCAAGTACCTGTAATTAATAAAATTGAAAGAATTTTAGGTAAAATTCCTACCACTAAACATTATGTATGTAATGATTGTTTAGGCTTAATAAACACCATTGATCACTTACAACTCAAAATTTTAACATTCAATAATGAACTTGTGTCCAAGTATAAGAAGACATGTATTGAAAATAAAACATGTTTTACAGAAATTAAAAAATTGCCACTAAAAAATAAAATGAAATATAAATGTAAAATTTGCAACAAAATTTTATGTATTCAGAAGTATTTCTTATATCACTTAAATATGCATAAGAAACCATGCATACTGTGTGAATACTGTGGAATAATGTTTAGAAGTAGGAAAAAATTTGATGTTCATAACAGAAAACATACAAAGAAAAATGTAATGCCATCAATATTTAAATGTAAAAACTGTACAAAATTGTTTAAAACAAGATCCCATCTTAAGTATCATGAAAATGTGTGTTTAGGATTGTTTCCTTTTGAATGTAAATTCAAAGACTGTGACAAAAAGTTTGCTACCAATACACAATATAAAAATCATGTCAAACTAAAGCATGAAAAGAAATTTATAGCTATATGTTCTATATGTAATATTGGTTTTGTTAAGATATCGGAATACAAAAATCATAAAATCACACATGGCACTGAAAAGAAATATTCATGTACAAAGTGTAAAAATAGTTATAAAAGTCTATGCAACCTAAAATTTCATATGAAAATGCATAATAAACAATTTCCTTTCTCCTGTATGATATGCAAAAAAGGATTCTTGAGAAAAGAATACTATGAAACACATCTTAGTAAACATACTGGGATAAAAAAATATAAATGTTTGATATGTAATAAGCAAGTGGCATCTCAAAAATATCTTGATTCCCATCTAAAATCGCATGAGTCAAAGAAAGTTTCATGTAATATTTGTGGAAAACTTCTGTTAAATAGTTTTAAGTTGAAGGACCATATTAGAGTTCATAATAATTTAAAGGAGTTTGAATGTGATAGTTGCAACAAAAAATTCAACACGAGGGATTCCTTAAGGAAACATGTTAAATACAAACATGTCAATACTTAAATACAGAAGTAAGTTAATAATGTAAAGCTTTTTTCAGAACAAATATAGCATACAATAAATTCTCTTATACTGATTAATTTTTTTTATTAAATTTAAAACAGTATAAATTTAAAAGGGTTTTT